AGTTGGACTCTGTGATCCTTATGGGTCCATTCCAACTCAGAATATTTTGTGATTCTGTGATGTTTCACCCTTTTTATCCAGCAGGCATTTCAGAATGTTTCCTTTTCTTTATTATGGCCACCAGCAATGAGATTTTTATAGATTCACAGTTGAGCTTTTATGTACTGTTCATATCTGTGCATCTTCTTTGGTGCTCTGATAGTCACTCAGTTATGGATAAGAAAAGAGAAACTAAAAGAGACAAAAGATCTTCCTTTTTCAAGGAGAAGCCAAAGTATAAATCTGTGCATTACAATGTGCATTACAATGAGTACTTATAGAAAGCAAATCTTTGACAAAAGAGAGGATTCATTGTAAAAAGTCAAGAACCTGTAATAGGTCTACTGGTTCCATTTGCATTCTCTGAGCAGGTGAATTCAGACTTTGAAAAAGATCTCCCAGCTTGGCTAAACAGTCAAAATGGACTGAAAATTCAGTTCAACTGAGAATTGAAGTTACAGACAATTGAAAATTGATCTTTGCTTTTCATCAGAAAGATGATGAAAATCTCAGTAATGGAACATAAGCAAAGCTGCTTATGGAAAGGGATGTGTTGAAGTAGGTGCTTCTTTCCAGCACATTTTTCTTAAACATCCTTGAGGACTTGAAACAAAATCTCACTTTGCTTATGGCTCTAAGTGGCTCCATTTTGGTTTTTCCATGGACTAGAGCACCTTCCATCCTGTGTGTCGTACAAAAAAAAAACCTTTGGAGTATACATAGGATTTCATTGAACAGCCATTCCCAGGAAATATTATCCTTACAGGGTAATTGAGCTCAAAAAATGCCATGTGCTGGTATGGTAAGTGAATGGTGATGCTGATGATCAGTCTAACACACTCATGTTGGCTTTAATTAGACATTGATGTTTGCCTGCTCATGGATTTAGTTCTTATATTTTATTTTTCCAAATATAAATCCTTGAGAGTAACTTCTGTAGCAGAAGTCCCTCTGAATGCAAGAAGGTATGCATGCTCATACAACTACTTGTGTGACTGCTGGGTTTGCAACTAGAATTACCAAGCCCAGCTGCTAAGGAAAAACTGCTCCTAAACCCTGTATGATTTGGTAAGAGTTAAAACTGTGAGATAAACTAATCTAGGTTTCAGGATAATGTAAGCATTCTTACTCAGTCATTTCATTCATTGCATCCTTTTTTCCTGCAAGAACTGCCAGTTAAAAATCTCAACACAAAGCACTTTTTCATACCTCACTGAGCTTGGTTGATGCTAATTTTGCCTACTTCCCTCTTTGAAGGATTCAAGTTTACTGGACTCTTGACTGATCCACAAATGATCTTGCAGGTTAACTTCAAGAAGAGATTAAATGATTATGATCTAGTCTTGATTAAGAACTAAACACAACATCTTCCTTTCAACACAACTTTCCAACAGTAAGTTCCTCCCTCACAATCTCTAACACACTCTCCCATACAACTAACAAGAAAATAAACCCTTGCAAACTGCTTCTCTCCCATACAACTAACAAGAAAATAAACCCTTGCAAACTGCTTCTCTCACAGACTGAAGAAAGGTTCTTTCTCAGATCTGAATTTGAAGCACAGCTATTTGAAGTACAAAATGCATGGGCATTTTATACAGACTTTTGAGGATAACAGCGTACATGAATTTGTTTTGTTTGGGTTTTCTTTTCCTACTACTAATATAGCATTAAAGAAGATCCCTAGTGCTTTAACAGTCTGCATCTCATACAGTTGGAAGTCCTGTGCTCTACTTAATATTACCGCATACAGTACTTCCTTGCGCTTTAAAACTTCTTTTTGGTACACACAGTATTTCAAGTTCAACTGAGATGTCATTATTAAACATGTAGAGATTGAATATATGGTACCAGACAATGAAAGAACACCATCCCATAAAACAGAACATACAAGTAATTTTCACAGTTCTAACAAAAGAAGGTCACACATAAAATGTAACAAATAGCTCAGTACATAGCATGATTCAACATAATATTAAGTCCAGCTAATAGTGTCACATATTAAGGGCCAAATCCTGGCTCAATGTGCAGTTGAAACCTAAACAGATGTTTAGAGAAAATAATGTAAAGCCAAACTGTAGTGTTCTATTGGTAACAATACAATTTGTTAATCTACCTAAGATTTTTGGCCTGAAGTATGTACCTAACTTGTGCTACAGAAGGAACACATGGCCAGTGGTATTTGGCTCCTGTCCTAGGACATGTCTTCACGGATTTGTCATGGCCAAGGGCACTGGAGGCAGAGCAGCAGTCTTCCCTCTAGGTATGACATTTTCATCTACTGTTCTGCCAGAATTTGGCCAAGAGTTCAAAATCCTGTACATCTTATTCAGCAGTCCCACTGAAGTCAATGGAACCTTTTTTGTGAGTAAGATGAAAAGGATTTGGCCCCCAAAGTTTTTAACCCTTTAAGTAGTAAGAGAGAAGTTTCATTGCACTTAGCCCATCATTCATAAGTAATTTACTTCTCAAAAACAAGATGGCTGTTGATGTACACGAAGTGCTAGATCATAAACAGGAAAGCATGCAGGCAATGTCTGACTATTCATGGCATTTTGGAACTGAATTACTAAAGGGAAAAAGAGACACTTGCATATGGCAATTCCATCCAATATCTGTTTGAGCCATAACAGTTGTTTTTTCAATTCGTAAATACAGCCTCATGGATACATTATAAATACTAAATAACTACACCATGAATACAGTTATAATTGAATTTATACAAGTGTCTTCATTGGACTGGATGGATTAAAAAAATTACAAAAGAATATTGGAATAGATGGTTATTTCTAAAGAACTTCCTAAATGCATTCATATGGAACACATGGTCATGACTTGGGAAAATAGAATTTTTTTCTATCCTTCAGGAAAAGCTTTTGGTGACTGGAATGGGCAAGAACAGAATTTTCATACTTAACGTAAGAGTACTCTGTTACACTGTTCCATATTTGTTATTATTTGAATTACACAGAGTAGAGAACAACTATATGCCAATTAAATGAATCAAAACTATATGACAGTGCTACTCTGACCACAAATCATTGGTGGCAGTATATTCTAATAATATGCAGTTCTCAAAATTACAATTTGAAACTTCAAGTTGTGTATTCAGGATGCAAAGGTGAACTCTAAGTTAGAACTGGAAAACAGGACCGAGTACCATGGAGTTTAATCCCAACCGACAGAGTGAATCACTTCATCTCTAATACCATGTCACGCTCATGCTGATCCTCAATATGCAGCTTTAACAAAGTCACAAAGAATTGGGTCCTGAAAATGCTTGTCTCGACAACATCTGCACTGACAGACAATTTTATAGTGTTCCCTTTTTGCAAATGAGATAAAAATTTGTCTGCCTTATAAGCGTTGCTAAGAGCATGGCTTCTCATTGGCACTGAAGCCTGGAGCTGTCAATGATAATCTGAGGAAACTGAATGTGAAGCCTCCATGAAAAGGCTAAGGTGAGTGCCCTTCTAGTTATAAAAAATAATTTTAATTCCTTGTATTCCCTCTTTCCTCCCCAAAAGAAGGATATAGACATTTCGTGCTGATGTAGACATTTTGTGCTGACAACAGTCCTTTGGTATCAAATCTTCACGGGACATGATGGGCTGCATATCCCTTTGGCTATGGGAATAGGATTAGGTTTCATACTTAATTCCCTCACCTCATGCTGAAATCAGGGAGAAAAGTTCTTGGAAGTAAACTAAGTTGAGTGAAGACTCCTGGGAAAACTTCAACACAAAGAGCATTAGTCTAGCCTTTGGAATGAAATCTCCCTAGAAAGGGCTCTAATGAAGGCTTCAGGAGATGCATTATGGTATGCCCAAGAGAAGGTTACTTTGGGTGTTGTTGTGACTACACCTGGCAGGAAAGGTGTTAAGGTATCTCTTTATTTCTACTAAGGCAGTTTTCCCATGATTTCCTGTTTCCACACAAATTCTAAAGGACAGATCCCGAAGTCTTTATTCCATCTTTGTTCCTTATTCCACTGGTTATTTGATGGGGTAATGTAAGGGAGTTTGCTCTGTGCATCCTCCCCGTGTTCAGATGCCATTAGCCCGTGGTGTCTCCTGGCATGAACTCAGCTTCCAGGTTTTTCCACCTGGAATGAGAGGGGTATCTCCCTGGCATGAGGAGGAGGATGAGGTGATGTTGCCTGGTGTACACAGAGGTCAGGAGAGCCATCTGGCACCCAAATTAGCCTCTTGGGGCTGGGCCATAGTGCTTATGGGAGCTAAAGTATTTTGTGGATTCAGATCTTGAAAGCCATGTCACAGCATTTGATACAGAAATTAAAGGGTTTCATGGCAGAAGATGAGGAACTCTTTCTACTTTCTGAAGGAGAAAATTCTTTGAGAAGCTTTTGTGAATACCACTGCACCAAAAGGAAAGTATGCACATGCTATGTGTGGTATTTTTGATTTGCCTTTTTTTCCCCCTTCTGTTTGTGAAAATAGAAAATGCTTAGAAAAGAACAAAACTGATCAATGTTATGATGACATGGCACACTTCTGATCTATACTGAGATTTATTACTGGTCATATTTGACTTTCATTTTGGATTCTGAAAGAGTTTAAAAATTAGTATTAAAAAGCCTCATAACAATCTTCTCAAGCAAGTTTATGTAAATTTTACTGGTAAGGAAACCAAGCATAAAGAAATTAAATTATTTGCCACAGATAGTATAGTAAGTCAGTGTCAAAGTCTGAAGAAAATGAAATTCTGTGGTTATGGGTTAACTCTCTTTTCCTGCTAAGAAAATTGATCTTATCCCTAATGTGCTGTTTCATGCCACCTGTACTAAAGTTCATGAAAACTCGCCAGTTTGCACTGTTACAAAGCACATTTGCAAAGCCAATGATTTTTTTTTTCTATATGAGCACAAAAATTCTACTTAAAGGGTTAATTATATTGCTGTGCTGGTAAACATTTTTACTTATTGCTGGTTAGACCTATCTTTAGATACTGACTGGGACAGAAGAGACTGAGCTGGCCCTGGACTCCCTTGTCTTGGTGTTGGGCATGGATATAGTACAACAAGATACACCCACAGTGGCCTCAGGCAGCTCATCTTCCTCTGTCCATTCATTGAGATCTGGGTTATAGCACTGAATGCATTTCTTGTACTTTTTCTCTATTTCATTCCAGCCACCCACTAAGTAAATTTTCCCGTTGAGGGTGGAGGCGCCAGCCGTGCTAACTCCGGTTTGAAGCGGCGCCACGTAATTCCACTGGCCCGTGTATGGGCTGTAACGCTCCACAGGGAGAACATCGACCCTTTCTGCTCGCCCCCCCAGCTGAGACCCACCCATGACGTAGACCCTCTCCAGAAGGGACACTGCGCAGTGCCAGCCCCTCGGGGTGCTGAGGCTGGCCTTGTCCTGCCAGCTGTCTTTGCTGGGGTCGTACATGCACACCGAGCGAGAGTAAGCGTTATTGATGTAACCTCCCGTGACCAGGATCTGGCCATCCACCACGGCGCTGGCGTGGCAGCACCGCGGCACCTCTAGCGGGGCCTTCATCTGCCACTGGTTGGTTGCAGGCACGTAGCACTCGACAGAGGAGAGGCAGCCCTCGGAGTTGCGGCCTCCCACCGCGAAGAGGAGCCCATTGAACACGTTCAGGCTGAAGTGGGTGCGCCGCTGATTCATGTTTGCCAAGTGAATCCAGCTATTGAAACGAGGGTCATATCTGAAAGGATTCAGAAAACAAGGTAAGTCTTACTTACTGCTCTGCTAAATTACACAGGACTCCTATGCCACTGCTGCAAGAGCAAAGTTGATAGAATTTTAGTTAGTTATTTAGCCTATTAAAAGTCAGCATAATGAAACTGGTATTCCTGATTAAATTTCAAAATAAATTTAGCTTTTGATTGGAGAAACAATATTTTTGTATCATTCAAACCTGATATTATTTTAAAGAAGTAAATCTGATTCTTCTGTAATTTGATTTTGTACAATAATCTCATTCGAATACTGGGAAGAGGTAATTTCAAGATGCAACAGAAATTTTAGAAGTTCTTTTGCAATTTACACCCACAGCAAAGAGATCTAAATTTACTCAGAGAGTTTTTAAAAACTTTAGGTTGTGATTTATACTTACACCCTCTTCATGCTTTCTAAATGGTGAGTATGCTTTCCTTGCCACTCCCATGGAGTAAATTTTATGTGGAAAGAGCATCTGTGCTTTCTAACACCTTTGCTATCTGAAATAACATTCTTTGTCCTTGGCATTTAAATGACCTACTTTGAAATAATAAATGGCAAATTATGACTCCTGAAGATGCTATGTGAAGTACATTAGAGGAAGACCCACACACTTCCGTTGCATGCTAAAGGGACCAGAGAACCACATGAGAAAAAGACAATGGGAAAGTAAACACTAATTATCATTCAGCATTCAGCATTGTCATCTGCAAGTCCACAGACATACTGATGTGACTTGACATGCTCAAGGTTAAGGGCACAATGAGGATTCCCCCACCTCCTCCCTGCAACCAAGGTCAGCACTGAGGACACGACTCCTGGTGACAACGTGAGGCATAGCTTAAGGGCAGAAGGTCAAGAGAGCAGATATTTTTCTGTAAAGTAGATTACACAATAAAATTGATTTAGAGAATGTTCCTCATTCATTAACTCCTGGTGTCCTCAGGAGAAGCAGACGGTTCCTTCTGGGAGCAGAAAAGGAAGCACTGGTAGGACTGTGGCTGTGTAATGCCATTGCATGTCCATAGTCTGTTAGTAGATAAAAGGCAGATAAAAAATTTCCCACCTCCGGCCTTTGCTTCAAGCTGCTGTGCACTGCCGGCCTTTAGGCTGAACTATTTAAAAACTACTACTGCCCATGTGACATTGCATGTTAGTGTATGCACTCTTCTGACCTTGCTATCACCAGTGCAGTCTAGGATGACTATAGATAGGAACTGCAAAATTTTAGAAGCAAGGTGTTATTTGGGGTACACTGTAAAAAACAGCCTTCAAGCAATGGTACCATTGTTTTTAAACTCCTGATGATGATGATGATGATAATAATAATAATAATAATAATGATGATATGAAATTCAATACTAAAGCTGTTGAAAATATGGTGAATGAACAGAAAGTGAAGGCTATATCTAAAAGGTGTTTTTCCAAATTTTCTGTGAGGCATCAAAAGGTTTCAAAAATTTGAGAAGTCTTCTTAGATCATCCCATGGCCTCCTATTTATGTTCCTATCTGTTTCCTTCACTTGGAATAAGTTTTCTTCAGTTTTTCCTCACTTCTCAGTGTGCATGTGTAACCATGGTGAAATTTTTTGCATAACTTCAGTTGTATATTTCTGTTCATTCAAAGTTTAATATAGAATAGCATCTATACCTCCCCTACACTGTCCCCTTTTTCTTTATCCAAGTGGTTCATGTTGCATGACACAAGCCAGCTTAGACTATCTACCTGCCTTCTGTGGAACAGATACCTACATCCCTTTTAAAGAAATAGGAGTTACCTGCAGAAATTGCTGACTGCATGCTTGGCTTGGTTCCTAGCATCATTCTGGTCTTCCCCACCAGCCACATAGAGAAATCCATCCATCACTGTGACACACTGATTAAAACTTTTAGCAGGCATTTCACTTAGCTTCTTCCATCCGTTTTCAGGATCTCTGTATAAGATGTCTCTGCTAAGAGACTTTTCTGTTAAAGCAGGGCGTCCCCCAACAGTAACTAAGACTCTGAAACCTCCACGGATCCTTGTTCTTCTGGACTGAAGTGTATTCTGGTGATAGGGAAGCAAGTGATAGTTCATGGCATCCACTAGGAGCTTGTGGCAGTCTGCATCTTGCATCATTCTTGGCACAGTTTGAACATAATTGACAAGGTCTTGGGCTGAGATGGTACCAAAACGGATGTTACTTAAGAGGTTGGCAGCAAACTTTACTCTTTTTTGGTCAAATTCCAGCCATTTTATTGCAATCTGGAATGCAACAATTTCAGAAGGCAACTGTAAGTCATCATCTGCAAGAAGTTCATTAATCTGATCAAAAGTAAGTTTTAGGAACTGATCAGTTTCTGAAAACTCAATGAAGTTGTCTCTAATAAATTTGTGCGCTGCTTCCTTGGTTGTTTTTAGTCCGTATGTTTCTGCAATATTGGCAATGTACATACAGTTCTCAACACTGATTTCTTGGACTAGAAAATCACAGCACATCTTTGTAAGGGTGTGAATCTGTAGATAAATTGCTGTGGAAATAATACTACCTATTGTGTAAAGTGAGAGAGTAAGTTTTCCAGTGTAAGCATAGGTGATAACAGTAGCTAGACCCACTGGGGACACATCATTGAGGTCCACTCTTTGAGTGGATGGATCTTTCTTTAAGATGTTGTGAAAGTATTCACTGCTTGAAGCCATCACTACCTTATGAACATTGAAAGATTTGGTTTTGGTACTGATAGTCAAGTCACAAAGGAAATTTTCTTGTCTCATTTTGCTTAGACCTTCCAAGAGGTTCGGGCAGTATGATGAGTCAGAAACCTCAGATGAGATGCAGCTGAAACCATTTCCTCCTTCCAAGAGTCCATTCAAGCCATTTAGTTTACTGAGGGGGCTATCTTCCACAATGATAGTTGTTTCGTTGATATCTGCTTTGTTCTTTTTCACATTCTTCTTCTTAGGGGCCATGACTGCAATGAAATATTACAGCCAAGCACTTGCTAAAAATAAAATTAAACACCAGAGTTGTGAAATTTAATAGCTAAGGGATTATGCAACAAATCTAACTTTTGTCAACACGTATAATGCCACAAAACCAAACACACAGGATAATCTGCCTTCCTAAGTTCTAGGTTGCAGCATGGCTGCTTCTTAATAACAATCAATACTCCAACTGTGAAGAATATACCTACAAGTAATTCAGTAATTCCTTTTTGTTTTAAATAACAAGATCATAAATTAACATTCACCTATTATCACCACATTCAGAGAGTTAAATTGTCTAAATGGGTTTGCCAGAGTCTGTCATTAGAGAATGGCAAATCCATTATCTAAATGGGTTTGCCAAATTTTACATTCTGGCAAACCCATTTAGAGAATTTAACTTTATATAATAAAGTTATATATTTATTTAGAATTTAACTTTATATAACAAATTTATATATTTATTTAAATTAGGAAGGTTCTAGACCTGAATCCATTAGCCTGAAGCATAGGAAAAATATGGGCCCCCAACTTCGTTCATCCTTACTTCATAGCTACAGACTTACAGGTGAGTTCAGAACTTGAGCAGGAAATATTAAGACTGGGAAAAATTCTTTAAGAAACAAAAGCCAGATCAGACATAAAGAGAAAGAGGATTGTAATATGATGTCATATTGATTTTAGATTTAGGTCCTGCTCGAAACTGCTTCCAGGTTTTTGTAACTTTTGGTTTTATAGACTGATAGTGTTCTATTTCCTGTGTCAGATGTGCAAATACTTTCTGCACATAGCATAGTTGGATCGCTTTTCAGTATCAGTAATTTGAAATCTATTGTCACACTTCTAGGATTTTGTGGAGATTTAGGGAGAAGATGTCTAACTTCTATTTGAAAAGATGTCACACAAACTCTATCAGGATGTGTTATTTTAAACAAGTTCTGCATACGGGAAGGTAAGAATCAGTCCCATTGTTATGTTAGAGCACAAATTTAAATTATATCTATCAGCTCTCGGTGAGCTCTCAATGAAATAAAGAGACACTTTTTTGTCAGATGCAATGTGAGACAGCCCCTAGTAACAAAGGAGTTACTTTGAAAAAATATATGTATGTGCAAATATACTTGAAGGAAAGCACTGATCTTCAATAACACAATTTAAACAGTATTGTGGAGATCAGCATTCAAATAGATTCAAACACAGCATTTATCTCCAGTGTTGATTTTAAAACAATTTACACATGATCCTTGCAGTCATAAAAACATGAAAAAATTATGTTAATTAATTATAAATCAAATGACTGGTTTATCGTAGATAATTAAATCAAAAAACTTCAGTAATATTTCAATCTAGAATCTCAGCACACCACTTCTTCCTTAAGCACAAAGCATGTAACAAAATGGTAATTTAATTATAGAAAGGAATGGTTGCTGCCTGTGAGCACCAGCAGTTTTTTGCTGCTGCTGCTGCTGCTGGGTGACGGCCATGTGCAGAGCAGGCGAGGGAGAGGGCCATGTGTGCCCGGAGTGTCAGTGTCAGCCTGTGCTGACGTGAGCTGTGATCCCTGACATGCCACTGTGCCAGCACAGGGGTCAGCTGCTGCCCGGCTCCCCCGCTCTGGCTGCATTCCGGGCTGCATCTGTTGAGACCTATCAGAGTCACCTCCCAGAATAGCAACCTCCCAGCAGCTTGCCATTTTAAGACAGGTTCAGTTGAAGGTATAGCTGGTGTTTTAGTACACTTGGCTGTTTAACACAAATTTTGTTGCAAAAACACTATGATGTTGCAAGCGTCACATATATTTGTTGGCATGAAAAAGAAGCAAAACAAAACTTTTGGATAACTTTGTGTGTTACATACATAGTTATAACTTTGCATATTAATAGTCACAATTTTAAAGTTGGTGAGGGCATATTCTTTCGGCAGCCTTATCTGTTGTTCTAAGTATTTTTAGAGACTTGTAACTTATAATTTTTAATACATGTAGCACTTAATGTTTATTGCCTCATTGAATCATTGCAGAGCTCATTTAAATACAACATTTTAAGCTCTCTGTTCAAGAATGCTCACTATCCAAAGTTTTTTTCCTGAGAAACGCTTTTTCATCAGCAGAAATTTCACAAGGCAGCTTAGTGTACAAACACTGTAAGTGATGGGACATGCAAACCTACTGAAACAAATCAAACAATCCTATAATAAAATCAAGTTACTGAACTCTGAAAACACTGAGCAATTTGGTTTTCTATGATTGTTTCCTTTCCCCTACTTTATTTTAGCTTAAGTACCAGTCATGCCAAAGGACACTTGGGGTCCCAAAACAATGCCTTATACCAGCCAGCCTCCCCCCTGCTTTAAAATGCCACCTTCTAAAAACTATCAAAGTGAGGAGTTAAAAACTTCTTACCCTCCTCAGAAAGATACTGTTCCAGAGCTGTCCGTGAAAATGCCTCTTCCTTGGAAAATGCGAACACAGAAAGAGAGGAATTGTGGGGAAAAAAAGAGTGAGAAAGATCAGAGGCCACTTAAGTCCCAGCTCACTGGTGTTCAGTGAGGCACTTGGCTGTCACAGCGAGCAAGAGAGACCGGAGCCTGTGCTCGGGTGCTCTTTACAATGACCCCTCCTCTCCATGCCTTGCTCCCTGCCTCTGCCCAGCCACAGGAGCTCAGCTTCCCTGGGCTGCCTGGCCACTGGAAATCAGGAGGACAAGCCTGGACCCTGCAAATGCACAGGTACATGGGAGGAAAGGGAGGTGAATGTGAAGATAACTACAGCAGGTAATAACTGCCTCAGGTAAGTGTAGGGTGAACCACTGGGTTCCCCAGCTCCCACCTGGGAGCCTGGGTGAAAGCCCTTAGGGAAGGGCACAGGATTAGACTGGACATAAGGAAGACACTTTATGATGAGGGTGGTGAGGCACTGGAACAGGATGCACAGAGAAGGTGTGGATGCCTCACTCCTGGAAGGGTTCAAGGCCAGGTTGGACAGAACTTTAAAAAACTTTGTCTAGCAGAAGATGTCCCATGGCAGGGGGGTTGAAGCTACATGGTCTTTGAAGGTCCCATCAAAACCCATTCTATGATTATTATTATTCTATGACCTAAAATAACCCCCAGAAAACACCATGAAAATTCTGGCACTTTACACTTCCTTAGATTTTCCATGTTTAACTCCAGGCAGAGGAAAGGAGACCAGCTGATGGGGATTCAGTCATGTTCTGTTTTGTGGAGTTAGGTCACTGCTTCCATAAAGACCTGCCTCAGCTTTCAAAGATTATGTCTCACATCCTGATATATTTTCAGAGATGTGAACTTTGATCTTCTGTCTCTCATGTGTGTATCCTGACTTGGGGTTATACCATACACTGGAATAATTTATCTCTGCATCTTTGCCAGGCAACCTCAGGAATAATATAAAGCCAAACTGCCACATCCCAGGAGAATTTCATCCCACAGGAGAGATAAAAAGAGTGCAAGTGTCTGCATGGGAAGGGAAGAGTACTGGGGGAAGTGGAAGTCTGAGAACAGGAAGATTTTCTCTTGGATGTGCTTTGTATAATGCTTAATCATACAGATTTATTTGGCTGCCTTCAGGCTCAGATGGGCTTTTACAACAACCGCTGCAAAGTAACACTTGTCATTTTGAACAAAAGGGCATCACTGTGTGGCTGGAGCTACATCACAAGGTAAGAATGAAAAAACAGAACAGGAAATTAGAGTCAGTCAAATGTGTGAAATGAGAGTGGATGAGAGGGACATAAGGCTCAGCCCTCCCAACCAGCTTTCCTTTTGAAAAAAAGGGCCACAGCTACAAAAAACTAAGGACAAAGCCTCATTTTCATAGAATCGTGGAATACCAGGTTGGAAGGAATACCAAGGATCACCTGGTTCCAACTTTCTTGGCAAAATCATTTTCTTGACCACATGGCCCAGCACCCTCTTACAAATCTTACAAGTGTCCAACCTTGGGGAATCCACCACTTAGTTCCCTGGGGAGATTAGATTCTCATTGTGAAAATTTTTCCTCTTGTGTCAAATCATAATCTCCTCAGGAGTAATTTGTAGTCATCCCCCTTCACCTTTTCCTTGTGATTTCCTGTAAAAAGGGAGTCTCCATCTACTATGTCGTTGTGGTTTGACTCTGGCCAAATGCCAGGCACCCACAGAGTCACTCACTCACCCTCCCCTGCTACAGCTGGACAGAGGAGACAAAAATAACAAAGGTTTCATGAGTGAGATAAGGACTGGGAGAAATATTTCAAGGGCAAACCAGGCTCAACTTAAGTTGCAAAGCGAATTACTAACAAAATCAGAGGAGGATAATGAGAAGTAAAATAAGCCCTTAAAACACTGTTTCCCCCCCCCCTCCTTCCCACTGACAGTGCAGGAAGACAGGGTGTGGGAGTTTGGTCAGTTCATCACCCGAGGTTTTCTTCTGCTGCTCAGGGAGAGAAGTCCTTCCCCTGTGAGGCCATGGAGTCCCTCCCATGGGACACAGTTCTCCATGAACTTCTCTGGCATGGTTCTCTTCCCATGAGCAGCAGTCCTCCCAAAACTGCTGCAATGTGAGTCCCTCCCACAGGCAAACAGCCCTCCCAAAACTGCTGTGACGTGGGTCACTCTTCCACGGGGTGCAGTCCTCCAGGGAGAGGCTGCTCCAGCCTGGAAGCAAGGGCTCTCTCTCTCTCCATTTGGGTCTCCCACTGGATCACAGCCTCCTCTAGGCATCCCCTTGATCCAGCATGGGCACCTCCCCCACGAGCTGAGGGTGGATCTCTGCATTCCCTGTGGATCCCCATGGGCTGAGGGTGGATTTTCAACTGCACTAATCTGAATGTATCAGATAATCACACCAGCAATGCCTTTAGGAAGGATGAAATTCCTTACACAGACAGGAGGTAACTGTGAAAGCATACTGAATTTCAGTGGGAACTGCAGTCTTAAAAAAAGAGATAGAAAAGAAATGTGGGTTTTTAAAGCTTCTAAATTAA